GTTCGGTAGAACTTCAATTATAGACGTAAAAAGAAATCGCCTTACAAACCCCTATTTTACACATTTATGGGTTGAATTTTTAAAAAACCGTTCTTAGCTGACATCTTCTAACTAAAAACTACCTACTTGCCAAATGTTTCCTTCCAAGGTTCAGTAGTTTTCTAGATTTCGTTTTGAGTCAGTGAGATACTTTTGAATTTATATAGACGATTAATCGCAAAAAAGTTACATTATTACAAATATTACGTTCATACAAACTTTGAAGATAGACCTATGTAAATCTAAAATGCTATATGTAAGTTAAAAATAAATAAACAAATGTTTAAGACTCTAAACAGTCTAAACACTAATTCTTAAAAGTTAAAACTTGGTACATAATAGGTGCAAGACTACGAATTAAATTCGAAAATTTAAAAATGTATCTATTAATACACTAAAAATTGCGAAAAACGTTGAAGAATAATAGCAAACATTTTTAACCGTCCATAGAGAGACTAACGCTCAAAACCGTTTTTCAAATGCAATACACCGTTCAACCACTTGCCACTAAATATACGGCTCTGCGTTTTTTGAATATTAGTAAACTCTTATAGTTGGATAGTAAATGCGGATTAAAAATTAAAAATAAATATATTTATCAATCAAAATATAAATTGTAGAAGATTATTCATTTTTACCAACTTTATACTTTTGAGGAATTCAATATTTAATTTAATTCTACATTGATAAGACTCTTCCTAAGATAAAAAAGTGTATAATGTAATATATAAAAATAAACGTAAACAGTAATGTATTTTTTTTATTTATTTTTATTTACTCTTCACGAATATATCGGACTGTAATACTGTACTATAATTGAACATGTTCTTGTGGGGTCCCATACATTATATATTTTATAAGTTTATAATTTATATTAATTAGGTAAGTAATAAATATTACACATATTGGTTTTTGATCACACATTGGTTGTAATTTGTTCAAACGCATAATACAAATTAATAATTTATATTTACCTATATATATATATTTTTTTAAAACAGATATTAGGTTTTCAAAAGTGTTCTCATATAATATCGAAGTAAATACCATTATGATATATGTAAGTATTCTAATATATTACAGTTATTTTTTTATCTGTATAAGTCATAATATTATTACAAGTGACAACATAAACCTATATTGTCGGTATTTTAATCCTATCATTCCTATCCAACTTTGATAATATTATTTTCAGTATTATAATATTCTATAGATATATATCTACCTGTTAAATATATGCAATTTAAATCTATGTGAATCTACGTCCCCCATATTTAACTAATTTAAATACTATTATCATGAAGTTAAATAGTTGTGATACATTTTATTTAAACTTATCATAATATAATACCGGTCGTAAGTATAGTTATAGCCACACCATGTGCACATCGATAAAATGTTAGAACAGTTGTAGGTATAGTATACCTATATGTATTCAAATATGAACCCAACTCATCATGCCATACTTATTACTTATGCATTATACATGTAACATATCACATATATATTATGTGGCTATATAAAAAAAAAGAGTAATATTCATATGAATATAAAATCGTAACCGCAAACATGTTTCACTTGACACTGAAGAACGATTCAATTTCGAAGAACTATATCTTTCGTTTACGTTGGGTCATTTCTATAAGATATCATCAGTGACATAATATTAACTATTTTCCTGAGGGTATCATATTTTATAGAATTTCAGCGTTCAAATCTCTACTTTGAATTCATCGTGGTTCGTGAGTTAATATAGTCATATATATGCACAGTGATATCGTGATTGAATTATTCGGTGGGCGGGAGGGGAGTGGAGAATTGACAAACAATTTATCATAAATAATTGTGGGAGCTTAGCCTTGATATTTTTGAGGGGGCTTCGGTCAAATTTGGAGTAGAATAGAGTTCATTTTAATGAGTACCACTAACATTACACCGGATACATACCTATAGTATAATAATATTAATTTTATATATGCATCAAGTATTATTTTTTTTGTAAAGCATTTTTTTAATGAAATTATTATTCTGAAAGAAAACTCAGTATAAGTTATAATTTGACCAATCATAAAATTATATAAGATAATCTATATACAACTCCTCTTTTTCGTAATATAGTAGGTAGTTTTCTTAACACATAATTTTAAAATCGGTACAGACTACTGATAGACCAATGTGCGATGCACGACAGCAATAAAAATCATACTAAGCGCTACATAATATATAATTATGTATACCTACTAAACATCACACAAACGAAATCTGAGCGTATTTCAGTGAACATAATCTATAGGTATACAGGGTGATATTTTTATCATTGAACACTCATTATTTCAAAAAGTATTAATGTTTAAGAAAATATTTTTTTACATAGTTTCAAGTTGTTAAAAAACAATATTTTTATTAAAAAATTATATTTTTAAATATTTTTTATCCTTTTAATTTTTTAAGTTTTTTACTTTTTTGAATGACAACATGTAATTTTAATTTGATATTCAAAAACAGAATATTTTTCTGAGTATTTCGCTACATAAAAATTGAATTTAGGGCAATTAGTTTATGAGTTATAAGTATTTAAAGTTTAGATGAGCGGAGTAGTGGACAAACATTTCGCGGGGTAACCCCGTACCACTCTACTCCGCTCATCTAAACTTTAAATACTTATAACTCATAAACTAATTGCCCTAAATTCAATTTTTATGTATCGAAATACTCAGAAAAATATTCTGTTTTTGAATATCAAATTAAAATTACATGTTGTCATTCAAAAAAGTAAAAAACTTAAAAAATTAAAAGGATAAAAAATATTTAAAAATATAATTTTTTAATAAAAATATTGTTTTTTAACAACTTGAAACTATGCAAAAAAAATATTTTCTTAAACATTAATACTTTTTGAAATAATGAGTGTTCAATGATAAAAGAATCACCCTGTATATATTATATTCCGGGGGACACGTTGGATGCTGGAAAAAAACGATTTGGCCACTCGAAGGTCAATTCGTGAAGATTATCCACCCAGCCCCACGATATATTATATATATATATATATATAATATAACGCATTCAAGATATTATTATGTTTTTTTCAGTATTTAAATATAACGTATACAATATATATATTATAATTTATAATAAAATATACGTCATCGGCTCGACCGTCGTGCGAACTGCAGTTAAAAATTTTTAATCATCGGAAATGGCGTGCACGGTGCAGCCTGGTAGAAACACACGAGTGTACACATTAACATATACGATATTATACACGATATATCATTAAAAAAATAATAATAATAATAATAATAAGAATATTCGTTCTGACAATATATTATATGGACCGGTCGGTTCGAAAACAAAAAAACCGGCCTAGCCCGAATTTTATTATTTGATAAAAAAAAAAAATAAAGACCACGCGAGTATTACCTGTAGGTATAATGTGTATATAGGCACTACTCCGACGATATATAAGTGAAGACAAAAAAAATATATATATAAGCTTCTTTAAAAAGCAAAAGTAAATCAATCCGGTTACGTTCGCCTACGCTGTACGCGAGGTCTATATATGTTGTACAATATAATATATGTCCGACCGTAAGATATACACGCCGTAAGGAGTGATTAATTTGTGTCGGCTCTTCCCGTGCGCACAAAACCGAATCAAGCCGAGCAGATCGTTTAAGTTTAGTAGGTATAGCATGTCGTACAGCATTTATAGTTACACACGGCCGGCGAGCAAAATCGAACCAAAAAAAAAAAATAAACAAACGTTATTATATATTATGTACCTATATAGGTAATATATATTATTGTGTTCGATCGGGTCCGCTATAGGGCACCCATAATAAATATTGCGTGACGTCGTGTACCTATACGCGCCGCAGCAATATAATATGTACAAGAGTATATAGATACGAACAAATACTCTGGAATTCAAAACTTAACTACCTATATAGTAGTTGTAGTGTAACGGAGATATATAAATAACTGCGCTGCAGACTACCTATGGCCGACGGAAAATTCGATTCGCTATAGGCATAACTTTATCGTCTCATGCAGGTACTATAATATATACCTACCTATATGAGTGTATACATATTGCAATACGGCTGAAAAAACATATTAACCGAGCTCGAACAAAACCCAAGACGATACTGCGATTATTATATAGTATAATAATACCTACTGTTAGCAGCAGCAGTCAGCTAACGACAAAAGCATTATAATATGGCCTATGGGAAGCGTAGAATTTTACGAAACCTATCCAATAGGTATCTCGATGAATGGCACTCGATGAATGGTGAGAAATGAAATGTATCGTTTTATTTTATTGAAATCGAGCTGTAACACCAAGGTTATGAATTTTCACAGAGTTTAGCATAGTTATAAGTAGGTGGTAACTGCAGGTATAAGTAGGTACCTGCCTATATTTCAAAACTTATATTATAGGTACTAATATAAGCTGCTGAAATAGTAATAAATTAACATAAGTACCTTACTCGCACTTTATTTAGTATTAATTGCAAATAAAGTCGTACTTATTCGTTTATATTAACTTTCTTGATAGGCATAGGTACTAAAAAATGTTTAGTATAAATATATAACATATAACAAAATGTACATAAATACATTTTTATACGCAACTTAATCGCGATTCGTCAGCTACCTACTTCACGTGTCTGTAAAGTCATAAACATTTTACACTTAACGTGCATTTCCTATACTTACGGTTTTTTTTTTTTAACACGTTGACTGCCACGAGCCCGCCGGCGTCCTAACACGGATATGTAATAGCGGAGCCATGGTATAAATAATAGGTTATTACTGTAATGTTCATGTGTGTATATATAGAAAGGAGAGTCTAATTATAACTTTGATTACACCGTTATTATTGGAAAAATCCCAATATTACGAATTTAAAATAAAAATAGTTAGGTCGCCGGCGGTCATCTGGCGTGATAATTATGTCGTATTACTATGACGCCGGATTGGTCGCCGGCTACCATAATAAATGTATAGATAATTTCTTGTTTATATTTGTCATTAATCGTTTATCAATCACGGCACATTTAGTAGGGACACTTAGGAAAAATCGCCGTTATTTACCTAAAGAAGTTATCACAAAAAAAATTAAAAAAGGAGAAATTTTTGGGAAAGAAGACGATAACGGTATTGTAGTGTCAAAATTTAAAGATAAAAGAGATATATTTTTATTATCTACACGTCATAAATTAGATATTATAGACACGGGAAAACAATCCAGAAAAAAAGAAAGCATTTTGAAGCCTGATGTTATTTTATTTTACAATGCAGGAAAAGCTGGTATTGATTTATCAGACCAACTTGCATCTTATTCTACTCCCGTCAGAAAAAGCATCCGCTGGTATCATAAAGTTATGACTGAGATATTACTTAATACTAGTGTTATTAATGCTCAAATCATGTATAACATGAATCATTATGATTCAAAAATGAATGTAAAACAATTTCGAGAGTCGTTAATTGATAAAATGCTCAACCTAAGACCTACCAGCCGAAAATTAGCTCAACAATTGGCAGTACCTAACACACCAAAATCAACAGGAAATCAAAGAAGATCAGCAGCACCTAAACATAAAATAGAGGAAACGGAAGAGAAGTGTCCAAGAAATAGAAAACTAAGAAAACGTTGCTCAGAGTGTTATAAGAAAATATCACAAGAAAAAGGATTTAGGTAATGAGATTATTTGTTGCATCTTTTAATTTTATCATATTTATAAAATAATTAAAAACTAATAAAAATATATATATTTATGTTTAGGGAAGCATTAAATAAAACAAAAAAAGTCACTACGTTTTGCAGTACATGTCCATCACAGCCATTCATTTGTCTATCGTGTTTTTCTGATCATATTATATGATTAAATGTAATAATTTATGTACAATTAAGAATATTTTTTAAATACGATTAAAATAAAGGAATCAATTAGTTTTTTTTTTTTAAATTATTCGTTTTTTTCTCATGTACGCCATAGTGTTATTATTAAGTCATTATTTCCACGCCATCGAAAAATATCATATATTAAATACAATTAGAGGTTTGAACCGCCGGCGACCCAAGCGGCCCCTGAAGCATAATTCGGTTTAGGTCGCCGGCAACCTAAATGGCTCCACTTTAACGTATCCATGTTAGGTCGCCGGCGGGCTCGTGGCAGTCAACGTGTTAATGGATTATTATGAAATGCTCCATCTGCAGGCGGTGTATATAACATACCTATTATATTGTTCTCTGATTCAAATAAGAAAAAAAATAAACTACCTATTTAGATTATTTGTAATTTTTACGCCATTCTGGTTTTTATACATCTATTATTTTGTCTTTTATTTTTGTTTCTTTAATATTTAATTCATATTCAAGATTTGTTTAATAATAATAGATACCTATTTAATCGTATTTGTTCCAAAAAAATATGAAATAAAAAAATTATTATTATTATTATAATTACAGTTATGTACATTTTATAACTTAGAGATATATGTATATAACATATCTATCTATGTATAATCATTCTGTATGAAATGCTTCTGAAAATGTAATATAATAGTCATAAACACCTAACTAAATTAATGTCTATAATAACTACCTACTTTGTAATGTTTTGCCCTGAAATTCTAATCGTGATTCCAATCTTACACAGTCAACTACCTTGGTGTCATACAGAACATAGAAGTACAGACTACATGCAGTATGATAATCATAAGTTATTATCTATTCAATCAATTCAGAGATTTCAAAATTAATGATTAGGTATTACAATATTATTTAATGTGTAGCCATGTATACTGTATAGGTTAGGACGTATCTATGTACGATGTCGTATAAACATAAATGCCTGTAGAGTATATATATATATAATATATATGTACAATATTTGAAACACTATATTGTTCTACAAAAATTATATTTTTTCTAAATATATTAGGTAGGTAATTCCTTTTAAACAGATTAGAAACAAATATAATATCCAAACAAATAATGATGAAGTAACAACAATTGAAACTTCTACAGTAAGTATATAATTATTATACAGTATGAAATTAAATTTACAATATTCTATATAATACTATAGTAAGTTTTGATCAATATATAGTAATCATACATTTTACTTAATTTATAAAACTAATTCATTTTCTATAGTTAAATTATACGTTTTTGTGATAGTAAAAATGCTTACAATGGTAGATAATGTGAAAAATGATCTACCTTGGATCTACTTATTTTAATTCTATGCATATACTAATAATAAAAATAACATAGTCTGGCGGTGTACAAGTAAACAAAAGCTACATTTCCGGTAAGTACTTCATTGGTTACATAATATGATTCTATGGTCTAGACTAATATTATTTGTAATTTTTTTCTGGCATCTGTTAAAACAAAGAAAATGTTATTTAATTTACTAGTTACGTACAAATTTATAAAAATGTGTAACTCTGTACCTTCATCACAACCCTAGCTTAAAGCAGTAAGTAAGATAATTTAGTATAATATTAAGTATTTATTTAATAGTTTATACATACCTAACACATATTGTACAATATTGTTGTGTACTAATATGTGCGTTAAAATAATGCATGTATATAAATTCTCGTCCATAAATTAATAAAGACATTTCTTTTTCGTAGAACAACAAATGTAGGTAATATATATGTTAACTAGTAAGTACTATACTTTCAATTAATAGTGAAATTAATCAATTATTAGGTAGGTACAGTTTATTTGAAAATAAAAACTATAGTAAATAGTATCCAAAGAACGCTCACGACTCATAATAATTATATTTTAATGTTACAGGAGTGAGAATGACAAAAAAAAAAAGAAAAACACTCTTAAGGAGCCTCGCAATGGCATTGATTTAAGGAGAATCATTTAGGCAATTTCTAATCTCGTCGTCGCCACTCGAGATCTATGTGTTAGTCGTAAATGATTATTAGTGTGTGTGGCGTCCATGCGGGTCAATTGTATTGGTACGGAGGGCTCTCGCACGCACTCGCACACACATGTCAATATATAATAATATTGTGATCATGAAAAAATGCTTATTAGTTATTTTTCACTTACACATACGATTCTAATTCCAACAGTACGTCGCAACGATTACCTCGATTTTCATTCTGATAAAATATTCTTATTTTCCACAACATGTACGAGGGATCGATCGAGGCACATTTTTAAAATTGTATTTAGTTAATTAAATATTTAAGTTGGAAATTCTGTATTTTTTTTGATTTTTTTATAATTTTTATTGCAATTTAAATTACAAAAATTAAAAATGTGGCTCGATCGTTCCCTTATATATTATACTACGGACAATCAGAATAACTTTTCAGAATGAAAATCGTGATAATTGTCGACACGTATCGTTGGAATTAGAAACAGTAGTTTTTGACAAAAAAAGACTTGGTAGTGAGGCCCCTTAAAAGTAAATCATTTTTTGTAACTTTTTGCAAGTTTTCATTTGTTGGGTGGTGCAATAATCCTGTAACAGGATATAAAATCCTTTTTTTTAGTGTACCTACATAATACAGAACTCCATAATTTTATCTATTTCTAATCGAATATTGAAAGCCCGAATCATCATTAATCATTACTTACAAAGTCACAAACACAGAACCTTGTGTAGTAACTTTATAGTCATCTATAACAGTAAAATAATAGATAATAATTATTTTACCTAGTGCCTACCTAATACCTATCTGGCTGTCTACTTATAAGTGATTAGTCATCACTAATCAGTAATTACTAATTATTAATAATAAATAATATTGGTAATTTTCATTGGTGCAATTGGTGCATTCATCGATATGAATAAAAAAAAAATAATGATTAATGAATAATATACAAATAACAAATTTCTTCATGTTTACTTATCAAGTTAGAGATATTGAAGACACACGTTTTTACTTTGTATAATAATTTTCGGTTTTTACATTTCTTATTTCTATACGATTGGCAATTAGCATTCCATTAATATACATTAACGATGTCTGTCACCGCTTACAATTTATGACAGCGAAAGAAAAAAAAATCCGACCGTTCGACCGGTTATCAACTTACTATATAATATTATTATAATATACCATTAAGTTTTCTCGACATAATAATTAAAACCATTCTAATCGAAAATATATTTATTCTATTCCCTTGATTTAAAGTAGCTTTATTGAAAATACTAAAAAACAAATATAACAAGTAACACATTTAGGGTACTACCTACTACTATAAAATATAAACTGTGCTCACTACACAAAACCTAAAATATTTCAAATTAGGTAGGTACTATTGTACCTACAAGTGTAAAGCAAAGAAATTTGGCATTTTATTTTTATTTCATCTCCATAATGACCTGTAGGCTGCAATACTAGAATTTGGTTCATTCAACGTTACAATAAAATAATTTATATTTTACACTAAACGGTCTACATTTTTATACATTTCTTTCCAAAATTAACTATGAAGAAATTTTATTAGAATATATGAAACATCTCAATATTTCTCTGTGCAGAAAATATCAACAGCAGAGATCCAATGGAAATAACATATATTACGTATTTGAATATTATTGATCCACATCGTACTAAATGAAGAATAAATAATTGTATAGTTTGAAGTTTTGAACTTGATGTTTTCTATAATTTTTGTACAACTTTAAGTGCTTAAATGATAATCTGTTTTTTTCATTCTACAACGTACTATAATTAGCCAACATTTACGTTTAGTAGATCTCTTTTTAGTTATAACTTTTAAGATAATATTGTGGTTACCGATACACCTATTCTATATTCTATAGGTATCATAGTGTATAACATATTAACATCCAGCATTTATTATGAATGATTAAGTAATTTTTCAGATATTATTTGACAAAACGTTTTCATATACTACGATCAATTATGAGTACCATAATTATTACCTATACTGCACACGTCTTATAAAATAATGCAGCATGTATTGTGCACGACTTCTAATCGAAAGACGCTCAGTTTTCTTGTTTTTATTTATATATTTTTTTTTTATCCGGGTTTGTCGGAAATTCCAAAACAAACATTTTTTTTTTTTTTAATGTTCCTACTTATACCTATATACGATTTACTAATGACGGCTACGTCGTGATCGAAAAAAACCGACGCGCCGTGCGATAATGTCGGTTGTGTACACTGCACATACGAATGCCGCCAGCAGACTGCACTAGTCACCAACCATAGGGCCGCCGCCGGGGCACATTAGATTAATGGTTTTTCCCGCAAGTCTCTCACGACAAGGCCACTCTATCTGCAGTACAAGCCAGTACCAAATCCGTGATTCTTCTGTCGAATTTGGGTGGTGTACGAGGGAAAAACAAGTGAATAAATAAAAATATATTACCAGCGCAACCGACTTAGGTATTTACCGTGGACTGTAGAATGTTATTAAATTTAAAGCATTAATATTGAAGACTTATATTATATCATGAAACTGGACGCTGCCATTAAGTACAATATTATGGTAGTTTATGGTTCGTTAACTCGTTTTTAGTTTTTTTTCTTTATTTAAAATGCACAGATTTTTTTTAGTAAAACGTACAGATCGCTACTATATCAATGAATACATTGTTTTTTTTTCTTGTGTGCCTGTCATCAACTTTTAGAACAAAATAAATGCACCTATCTTTAATATATGTTCTTATAAGAAAGTGAA